CTCAGTCTACTTACTTGGGAGTGCATTATATTAATAGTAGTCCATTTCTTAGGGGCTATATTGGCAATAATTTCTATATACTCTATAATACTTTAAGATATCATACTTAAGTATTTAAAATCATATTTATTAAAATATGTAATACTCATATGTTTTTGGACAGCAACATTAATGCAATAGTAAAACATACATGGAAATTTTGTTTAAAATTTATGCAGTTTGTGACTCTGTTTTTTTTCCCTCATTACCTATAAGCTCAATTTAATAGATTGTGCAATTCTGTGGTCATAATCTGAAGTGCTGTTTAATCAAATTTAGGCTGAGAAGCAGTAGAAGAGCATTAAATCTAAATTGGTCTTTGATATTGATGATGATACTTTTTTGTGTACTAATTTTTTGTCTATGATGTTACTTCATTTGTAAAGCTGAAGAATAAGAGCAGTGTGAGAAAATGTGTTCAATAAGAGTATAAACCTTCTAAGTGACTTTTTAAAGTCATACAATTTCAAGGAACAATTTTCTTAATGTTCTTTAATTCCTAAAGATATGCTCACATATAGGGTTATTTAGTTTTCAGTAGATTTTTGTCACTGTCACAGGAAATAAAAAAATAAAAAATGACTCAGTGTTCATAAGCAAAAATGATTACATTATTTATAAATATTAGTTTATTATGAAGACAACTGCTTTTTAAATCTGAGAATTTGCAGCTTTATTTGTAGAAATAGTTATTTCTGAGTCCACTCTAATATATGAAAATAGTCACATTAAAGGGTCAGAAACATAGATTTCTGTTTTAAATTACTCATTGTTCCTATTCTCTTCCATTTTTGCCCTGTAGCATTGGTTGACATTTCATAGAGACTAAAGTGGCATAGGGCTGGAAAATATGTAATTATAAGAATAACCTGCTCTTGAATTTACTATTACATACTACTCATGATTCAGGCAGACTTTTCATAGGTGTTTAACTTGGAATGAGAAGTTTTCTTCTTCCATGACCTGTGATTAAAATGTGGCATTTTGATATATAAATAGAAGATAGTTTCTGCACAATCCAGCTGTGAATCAGAGCTGATGAAACAATGTGAGTCTTTGACCTGTATCATATAAGCAGTAGAACACATAATTGGAAATATATTTTAGATTAAGTGCAATAAACCTTTTCTTTAATACTCTATAGCTTAAAGTAGGCTAAGTGCTGAAATGCAACAAGATGCATGTTAAGAGGAGTTTTGCTTCACTTAATGCTCCTCAAAGGAATTCCAATAAACAGAAATCTAGTACAACTACATTTGAATACTTTCTTTTCTTTTAATAAGTTGTAACCATGAATGCAAATATTTATCATTGGCTTTAGCATGATGGTAAGGGTAGGTTATATTTCTTCATAATTGAAAATGAAACTTACCGTTAACAATAGTGTTTGGATAATAGCCTTACCTGTTGCATTAACCTTTATAAATCTTTATGGCTAAAGTTGCAATTTTCAATTAACTGACTGTGGAATTGTGCACCCAGTTCCTAGTGATAGTTTGTGTTTTTTTTTTTTTCTGAATGCTGAGATAGCTCATATATATTCCTATGCTTAGTTTAGTTTGCATATAAAAAGTCTGTAAAGATATTATTTTTGTATATGTGCATTATTCTTTGCACTGTAAATATAAATTATATTATTTCAAAGTCATGCATACTATTGTTTTATAGTAAGATGCCATTTGCTAAAACACTTTACTTAGCATTTTATAGATCAAAACATGTTAGCTTCCCACAAGGGCTTTATAACTTTGGATATCTATACCATTGATATTAGAACAAGTGGGCTGGAGCCTGAATGTCATCTTTTATTTTACATTTTGAAATATCCTTATTAATAAAGCTAAAGCATTAAATATATTTCTTATGAACCTATCAATTTAAAAATATTTTAGATTTTAAAGCATCAACAGGGATGCATTTTTCAAAGCCCATGGTTTTGAATTACATGTAATTAATAATTACATCCATTATTAGGGAGATATGGTGGCATTGACTTTGTATTCTATTAATATCTTTATATCTACTCTACTGTTTCGCTATTTATATTTATTGTCAATATTGTATGCCTAAAGTTTGTATTTCTTCTCCTTATACAGTGTCTCTTTGATGCCCCCGATTTAATTTCATTCATTACCATTTTTCTAAAGTTACCTTCTACATGCTCTATAGTGAACTTCCTATGAAGCCTCTCCTCTAGAAACATTTGATATAGTAGACCTATAATTGCCTCTTGAAACAAAAGGTTTTGGATGTGATAGATAATATGTATTGTTTAAAATATGAATGGAGAAGAAAATAGCCTCTTCCTATTTTCTCTCTGTGGAGTTGTTAGCCAGATTCTAACCACTACACTATCTCCCTTTTTTGACTCCTCTCCTCACTTCCTAAATGTTTTTGGAAACAAAACTCAAAAGTCTTACAAGAATCTATCTAGAACTCAAAAGAATTAAAAAGAAAAAACCAAACAACTCCATCAAGAAATGGGCAACGGGAATGAACACCACCTAACCCCAGTGAGAATGGCCTGTATCAAGCAATCCCCAAACAACAAATGCTGGCCAGGATGTGGAGAGACAGGAACACTCTTACACTGCTGGTGGGACTGCAAATTAGTGCAACCTTTGTGGAAAAGAATTTGGAGATACCTCAAACAACTAGAAATAGAAATACCATTCAACCCAGCAATAGCATTGTTAGGCATCTACCCAAAAGAGCATAAGACATTCTATTATAAAGACATCTGCACCCGAATGTTTATGGCAGCACAATTCACTATTGCAAGGACATGGAAACAACTCAAGTGCCCATCAATTCATGAGTGGATAATCAAAATTTGGTATATGTTCACGATGGAATATTACTCAATTCTAAGAAACGACAGTGAGCTAGCACCGCTTATACTATCCTGCATTAGCTTAAACCCATTATCCAAAGTGAGGCGACACAAGATCAGGAAAATGGGCTCCACAAGTAGTTGCCATGAAATTGGTACTGATTAAAACTATGGTGCTCAAATGGTGGTGGTGTTCACCAGGGATTTGGGCGTGGGAGAGACCCACATCTTAGGGATGTGGTGAGCATTGTGGAGGGGAAGAGCATACCTCTAACCCTTATTAGGGAGAGGTAAAGATATAAAAGGTAACCAAAATGTCAAAAACAACCCCAAATTTTATTGGGTGGCAGGCAGGTGGGAGGGGGGAGTAGGGATGGGTGTATACTTACATAATGAGTGCGATATGCACCACCTGGAGGATGGACATGCTTGAAGCTCTGACCTGGCGAAGGGGGAGGGTGGCAAGGGCAATATATATAACCTTAACAATATTTGCACCTCAATAATATGATGAAATAAAAAGAAAAAAATGTTTTGGTCCTCAGTTATGTAGTTTTCTCTTTCTATATTTTTAACTTAGAAAAACCTCAATGATTGCTTCTAAGTAAATAACTCCCATCTTTCTCTCCACGCTACCTTTCCCACTGAGCTTCAGTCAATCTCCAAATGGGATTTTCTAGACAAATTGTCTTCTGGACATTTCTAGTTGGGTATCCTGTCATCTTTTCAAACAACTGGTTCACAACCAAACTCATATATCCCTCTCCAGTAGTATCTTCCTTTTGTGTTTTCTTTTTTCTGTATTATCTTTTTTACAGCCACTATTCATTTTTTATCATCTTCCAGTCACTATAAATGAGGCAGTTTGAACACGTTTGAAGTTGTTCTTCAACACGTTTGAAGTTGTTCTTCCTTTCCCTTACCAGTGTTCTTAAACTCCTTGTTAGGGTTCCTGAAACAGACCATCTCCAAGTCCTCCCATCCCATAAGGTACTGCCAGACTTTACATTTTTTTGTTTGTTTGTTTTGAGACAGTGTTTTCCTCTTTTGCAGGCACTGGAGTGCAATGTCATCATTATTGATCACTGCAACTTCAAACTCCTGGGCCCATGTGATCTTCATGCCTCAGCCTCCCAAGTAGCTGGGACTATAGGAGTGCACCACCATGCCCAGCTAATATTTTTTGTTAATATTTTTTGTAGAGACAGAGCCTCACTATTGCCCAGGCTGGTCTTGAACTCCTGGCCTCAAGCGATCCTCCCGTGTTGGCCTCCCAAAGTGCTAGGATTACAAGTGTGAGCCAACACATCCGGCCCAGAGTTTACTTCTTAACTTACCACTTTCTTCATGAATCTTCTTTAATTTAAAACTTTTAAGAGCTACCTACTATCTATGGAAGTTCTCAAAAGTGGTTTTATTTGTTTGTTTACCACTAGAAGGCTTTGGTTTTTAGTTAAATCTTACATGAGACTAACACAAATAAAACATTAACTCTAGAGCTGTTTTGAATGAAAATAATTTAAACCTCTTCTTCTTGGGCTTTGCCTATAAAATATGCTCTGGTCACTTCCATAGAATTTTGGAGCATTAGAATAAAACTTGAAATCCATTGGCTTAAGTACAAAAATATTATTTAGGATTATTCTATTGAAACAATCTGTTTACTATCCAATTGTTCGATGTGCATACTGTTTTTGTGTTACGGATTCTATGATGCCCATAGTGTTGTTAAACTATATTTTTGCTCTTTTAAAATCCTATTCATATTTCCAAATGCAGCTCAAGCACTACCTCCTCACTGAACATGTGAATTAATATGTAGGAAATAAAAGAGTTAAGTATCTTTTTTTCACAATGTTTAGATATCTAGAAGGAATACTGGTTTCTCTTTTTTGGAAATTATTTCTGTACTACATTTAATTATTAGGTAAATAGATATTATTATTTTATGTTTATCATATTTCAAAGCTGTGAACTGAATGACCATATGCATTCAAACAGAATGGGTCTGAGATTGTTTGTTGCTAATATTATACATTAAGAGTCTGAACCTAAGAATAATATCCATATTACCAAAATGTATAACTTAAAACAGTTTATTATAATTTTTACATTTATTTTCTCTTAGGGCCCGCATCATACGACCCTGTTTTAAGGAAATCTTGCCCCATGCCCGTATTTGTTAAAGCACCAAAGCGCTTTGAATGTTCCAAAGAAATTACTCCTGGCCCAGCAACATACGAGGTTTGTCAATATTTCTCTTTTATCAATGACACAGTAATTGAATGATTTCCAGAAATTACTGCAAATGTATATATGAAAGTCCTTTCTATATATTTTATTCATTTTTAATCAAACCTTTTGGCTAAGGAAAACATTTTTGAAAATATATTCTGATATTTAAAAAAAATTATGTTAAGAATTAAATTTAATTTTAATAATTTTTCTATCTGTAAATATCTTCTACAGCATTGTTATATATATTGAGTTTCGTGTATATAACAAGGAAATTCCTACAACTTTTAAAATGTATTTATTTACATACATAAATTGAAATCTCTTCATATTTATTGAAATCATGAATTTATTAGAGAGCCCAGAAGAAAGGTCCATGGATCCAATAATATCAAGTGTTAATCTTTTCTTTTCTTTCTTTTGTTGTTGACCATTAAAATTTTTTTTTTAGTACAAATGTATGGGGTGCATATGCAGTTTTTTCACCTGTGTAATGCTCATGTCAGGGCTTTTAGAGTACACCCAAATAATGTACACTATATCCATTAACCAGTTTCTCATTATTCTTCCCTCTCCCCCCTGCTCACCCTCTGAGTCTCCATTATCCATCATTCCACTCCCAATGCCTGTGTGAACACATTTTTAACACTCACCTGAGTGAGAACATGTCTTTTTGTGCCTAGGCTTTTCACTTAAGATAACTTCCAGTTCCCTCTATGTTGCTGCAAAGACATGATTTCATTCTTTTTGTGGCTGAATAGTATTGCATTGTGTTATATATACCACACTTTCTTTATCCATTCATCTGTTGATGTATACTTAGCTTGGTTCTTGGCTACAGGTTGTAGTAGCAGTGTACCGGTCAGGTGAGTAGCCTCTTGAGTTCCTGGACAGCTGTCATGGCATGGACAGTGGTGGTGAGAAGCTCCTCAGAGTCTCCAGCTCTGTTCACTTATGTTGGCAGTGGTGGCGGTGGGGTGTGGGGGCCATCCTCCAGGTCAGTGGGTCGTTCTTACAGGTAGGAAACAAGCTGAGGTGGTAGCAGCATGGTATTTATGTCCAATCTCAGTGTCCTGAGAGGAATACTTGGGTGCCCCAGGTAGGGGATTGTTGGGTTGTGGAACCTCCAGGACCCTGGATCCCACATTCTGTGCCACAGCAGGGATGAAGCCAGGTGGAGCTTAACCAGCCAAGCCTGTGCTTAGGCCTGTGATTTAAGTGTATGTGCCAGTTGTAACAAGTGGGGTCAGAGTGATCCTGAGGCCACTGGTGGAATGCTTTGGGTGGGAGGCAGCACCCACCATGCTGTGGTCCTGGGAAGGAAAGAGTGGGGCTTGCCTCCAAAACCACAGCCTTGACCAGTGGGTGGGGATGCATATCCCTTTAATGCCCCAATCCTGGCGGGGCTTGCTCCCCAGTCTTGGCTATGGCAGCTGACCCAGTTTACTCATTCATTAGACCTGACAATCTGTGCCTATGCTGCTGCTCAACTCTGGGCTGTAGGAGCCTCCACCTAGCTCAAAAGCAAGCCTCCTTGGCAACTATCGCCCCACTCAAATCTCAAGTATGGTACCTGTTTCCCAGCACCGATGGCCGCAGCCCATACCCTGCTCACTTCTCAGTCCTGGCTGTGGGTATCCCACTTCCCCACCCCATGCCTCGGTTCTGCCAGCAACAGAGTGAGTTTCCCTAATACCAAGGAGAGACACTACTGGATCCCAGGATAACGCCCAGCTGTTAAAAGCTAGTATTGAAAGGCATGTTGGTGTAGGCCCCTAGGTTTCAGGAAGGGCATGAGCAGTTCCTTCTCAGGGTCTCCTGGCAGCTCCCTAAGTTAGATTAGGGCTTGGAAAGGTCAAGGTGATCTCCCAGCCTAGACTGTATGATTCCTCAGTGGGAAAGGGGAGCACGGGAAGACTTACTGGCCCGCTCCTGTGCTGGGGGGTCACGCCTGGCTCGCAGCCAGTCCTGGCCAAGCAGGCTACCTGTTTTCCTTCTCCTTCCTCTTACCGTCTTTTAATAAATGTGAATACTGTAGTTTAAATTAATAATAAATGAGAGTCTCTTTTAAGCTGTAGCCTTCTCTTTGTTCATAAGAAGGAGTTTTAAATAAACCTGTAGGGATTTAGAAATTGTGTTCACAATAGGCCTTTATTGCCCTTTTGAGAATTAGAATGAAATACATCCCCCCATTCCCACTTTACTAACTATAGAGAGTGAAATATTTTATTTTGGCTTATAGCAATTAATTTAAGAATTAATTCTGGGTGCAAACCAAATGAATGTTTATTTATTTGTTTTTGGTTAATGACAGATCTATTTTTATTGAATGTATGTTTTTCTACTTAGTTAAGATGTCATAATCTAAAATTTTTTAGCATTCTGTAAAAGGCAGGTTCACAATATTATATCAGAAAAGAAAAAACAAATAATCAAACAGTCATTATTTTTACTTGTTGGCCATTGATTCTTTCAAAAGACAACCACTAATGCCTGCTAATTAAGTAAAACTAATTTTATTAGGTTCACTTCAGAAAGGAAGAATCTGCTAGAGTTTTAGTAGTTTATTTCAAAAGGTGGAAGTCCAGGCAGGTTATGATAAGTTTTTAGGACTTGGGCTGGGTGATTTAAGGCAAGTCTTGTAAAGGGTGAACTGGTTGTGACTGGGCAAAGTTTATTTTTATTTTGGATTAATGAACATAGTGAGGGAGCATCTTAAAGCAAGTATTGATCAATAAGCTATTAGTCTTGATGAGTTAGATATTTTAGTTATTCGTAGTTGATCATATTAAATCATATTAAATCTTTAGCTGACACTTCTCTCTTCTTTCAAAACCTAATTTTAAGGGTATGCACAAATAATAAATGTCAGAAAATCTAATGGTATCCTTTTTCATTTTGTGATTTATTCTTTGTAAGAGGTATCCACCAGTCTCTCTAGTATTTACATTCTTCTTGCTTTTTCTTTTATTAAGATTTTATAAATTTATATGATACATTTATGTTTCACCATAGTTACTTATTAGGGACAATTATTTTCTATGTCAGAAGAAAACATTTATGGGCTTAATAATGATGTTTATTAAGGTATTGCTTGAAATCTCAAACTAATATATTCTATATGTACTGCACTGCAAGGCAACTTTTCTGTTGAGAACTGAATATTTTTTTTTAATTTCTCAACATCATATATTTCCTTTAATAATTGAAAACCTTTGAACAAATAACTTTTTTCATAATTTTCCTTCCTTAAGGGAAAAGCTACTTTTATGTTGATAGGCTGATAAATTACTTGGTCCTTTGATTATAACTTGCTCTTATATTTTAATTTGAACCCCCCCTCCATGACTTTAAGAAGTTTAAGTTGGCGACTCATTTGAGAACATATTGGCTTTAAATATTGTACATTTTTAACAGAAAAATAATTCTAGAAAGTTATGATATTGATCTAGAACTGCAATTGTGTTCTACTTTAAAAATTCTTAAATATGTATGGCCTCTGCCCTCCAGATAGTTGTACATTTTTAGTGTCTCATGTCCAAAACTGTCCAAAGCTGGAGGTCCTTACAATAATATTTGCAAATAACAGGAGCTGTCTTAAATTATACACTCACATTTGGGGGAGGAAGATCACAGTTGCTGTTGGAACATCTCTTTACTTTGCTTATTTTATTTTAATTACTAGCTAACTTGTTTGTCTCCTTTGCTCCATCTAGTTGTTGGTATTTATTGGTTTACTATAACCAATAGGTTACTGATCATTTTGAATAGTTAATGAAAGCTAGGGGGGAAATGCATATATGCTTATAACAAAAAATGTGCATACAATTTTAGGTTTATTAATCTTTAAAAGTTCACTTATAATTCTAATCAAGGACTTCCAAGATTATATTCTAAGCTCCAAGCTCAAGACTTATTTAATTGTATATTATTCAGATATTGACTACAGAATCTGGCACTTAGTAGTATATCAATAAATGTTTGTTGAATAAATTAACAAAATAGATAATCTTAGGATTTTCTTCCTATAAATCACTAATCTTTATCCAGAAATAAAGATTTACTTATTGTCTTAGTTTTCAGTGAGAAAAATATGTATATGTTCTTTTAAAATAGCAGTAAGTTTTATTGATTCATTGATTTTCTCTTGTTGAGTAATTATTCTGACTGAAAAATGTATTTTTAAGGTTTAAATTAGGCTACACATTAATTTTCTCAAATAAAATAGATAATTATTATGCAAGAATATAAAAGCTGTATATTAGAAACATCAATGAATTTAACTTTATAAAATCCTTCATTTAAATCTTACAGAAAAATTTAAATACATTTCTCTTCATAAAAGCAAATTCTGCTGAAATTAATTGAAATTAAATAATACAAGTTTATTTTATGAATATAATTTTTAATTTGGGGACATTATATAATTTTTTGAAAAATTTCAGGTAGGAATTATTTTCAGTGAATTTTTAAATGTTATGTAAAAATAGCAGAATTGGGCAGGGCAATAGGAATGTGATAAATTATTATAAATTCATAATATTCAGAGAATTGCAATCACGTGTTATGTTTTATTTTTTATTTATATTCAGTTCTAAATTTAAAAATTGAGATTCTTAGTATTTATTACTATAGACTTTTAGCCATATAAATTTTAATATAAAATGTTGATTACAATATAGTTGACTTCAACTATATTTTAAAATAAAATTTATTTGGCTGTGATTTATATAAACCAGACATTGATACATGTATGTGATAGTATTAATATTATAGAAAGTAAATGGTTGAATCATTTACTTTGTATTACTTCGAAATTATTTTGATCAAATTTTGTATTTGTAAGTTTGAGTTCAGACTTTACTTGCATTTTAGACTGATAAATTTCCATGAATATGGAAATTTGGAAAACAATAAGAGGAGAAATTTTAGTGTAGTTAATTTCATTTAAACTTCTATTCAAATAGTACAGAAATTAATAAAAATATTATTATATTTTTATGAAAAGA